GGATGTCGCCGTATACCAATTGAGCGTAATGATATTCTGGTACCATCCGAGTTACGTCGCCCTTACTCCCTCCTCAGTCCGCCCGACTCCTCTCCTTTTCCCCCCGCGGATATCTTTCTCCCCCCACTTTAGTGGCTGTTAACCGACGTTGGCCATTGACCGACCTTCGCAGTTGAACTGTGCCGCGAGAAGATAGGAATTGCTCCTTTCTCCCTCTCTCTCTCTCTCTCCCTCTCCCTCCTTTTCCCTTCGCTCTCCATCCGTGTCGCCGTCTTCTCCCGGCCCGTTGTTGTCTTGGCCACGTTTTAACCTCTGGTTACGTTACGTGGAACGAAGAAAAGGCCCATTTTCCAGGGATCTAAGGTGGATCTAGGATGGAAAAAGTTCATCCACAGCGATCTTAAAAATTAAGTTTCGGATTACCTTCGTTCCGGATCCGTTTAGGAACCGACAGCGCGGTGTTTAACGAGATTTTTCAACCTGATCATTTTGGACGTGTTTAATAACACGTTTTTTCCCCCCCTCCTCGATTTGACGGGATATCATCCTCTGTCGGATTTGGGAGCCGACGATCGCCTTCTACCACGGTAGAATTTGATGGATCTCTCTTCAGATCGCTGGATACGTAGATGACGGATGGATTTTGATTGGCGTTAAGAATCGCGTAAGAATTTTTTATTCGAATCAATTGTTTGGAATAAACGAGGGGATTGAATTAATATATAGACGACTTCATCGATTAACCGGTTGTTCAAGAAGTTGAGAACTCTATTTTTTTTGGTTTATCCCGTCAATTAAGCGACACGTAAGAATTTATCATAGATATCACAAGTATCATTCATTCGTTATAATTGCAGAAATTTTAATTTTCCTTCGATCCTCTCGTCCTCGATGATGCGGCGTTAATATCGACCGTTATTATAATATGGATTATAATCGTATTCATAGTCACGAGCATAATCCATGGATTCCATGAACTTATTATCAAACCTTTATTATCACTTCTCTCGGTCACGAACGTTCAAAAGGGAATCGACTCCTTTGCCTTTGGAATTTCTTTCCCCCCCTCTCTCCCAGATAGGAACCTCCCAGCTTGTCAAGCGAGAATTATGACGTTATACATTAACGAAACGGGTGCAAAAAAGTGCATCTTCGTGGAAGGTAATTAGCCGTTCTCCCGTGTAACGAGTGACAAGTTCCTGGTTGGATAACACCCATAGAAGTCGATGGCAGTGACTCTTATTATATATATATATACATACACACACACATGTATAGATATATATTTATACGAAGGGATCGAAACAAAACCGGCAGCCCTTCCGCGACACCGTCGTTGGAATAGAACTGGACTATTGGAAGTTTGAAAAATAAGTTAAACGTGACCGGTTTCCAGCCGATAGAGGGACTGGAGTGGTGGCTCGTTAATCGTTGGCATGGGGATCGTATTTCTAGCGTAAGTACGTGCCTCCCGTAATGGTGGTGTTTTCTTTTCGGTCGGTGGTACGCCTAGCTCTCTATGACGTACTCGCATCGTCCCTATCGTCGTGCCGGTTTTTGCCCGTCTCCCTCTCCCTCTCCCCTCCCTCCTTCCCCCGGCCCAGACGTTGTCCCATTTGCAATCACGCGCACGTTGCACCGCGATGTCGACATTCTGTCTCGTATGCCGCTGATATAATTGCCCGGCCAGACGCCAGGAGAGGATCCTCTTCGCGTGTTGCGCCGGCAAATCATATTACGATTGGGAATTCATTGAGAAAAGAAAAGAATAAGAGGAGGAGGAGCCCTTTCCAGGCATTTTCCGTTACCCGGAAACGCGAGATGTCGCTTCTTGCGCGCTTTACGCGCGTGCGTCGAATTCTCTTTCTCTTTCTCTTTCTCTTTCTTTCTTTCTTTCGTTCTTTCCGAGGCAAGGCTTGTGTTCTCGTTTTCTTGATCTTGAGAATTTAAGATCTGTGTGGTTCTGCGCTGTCGTTCTGCGGAAGGAGAATAATAATAATTGGGAGGAAATAGGAAGGAATATTTGATACGAAAGCACGGGCGGGTATGTAAATTTTTTAACGTGAAAGAAAATTGATATTTTTGAACACGTGTTTTAAAGGGATGATATAGGTATGATTAATAGGAGCGCGAATAATTGAGTATGAGTAATGATATTTGATTATGAACGATAACGAGGTATGTTAACGAGTTAAACGAGAAATATAATTACGGGTAGTTAGGATCATTTTTCTCGAACTTGGGTTAGTATTTTGTTTTTTTTTGTTTTTTTTTTTCTTCTTCTTCTTCTTCTTCCAATTATAGTCGAGCAGTTCAATTTGCAATTTTACAACGCAACGATTTTTACTAGTTTTTCGATTTTTAAATTTCACGATAATTTTTCGTAATTGTTAATGTATTCTTTGAGATAACATAATATATATGATAATATATACGAGTCTTATTATTACTTTATACACCGATAAAAAAGATTATACGATACTATCGATATAATTTCAGTCGACAATTTATATAAAACAGCAATTTGTTATTAATGTTTTTAAAATACATCCAAATTGGCGTTAAGTACGATTGATAAGGGAAATAAATCAAAAAACGATATCGGTATTTTTATTTATATCTTAGAGACATAAAGTTAAATTCTTATATTATAATCTTTATGAATAATGAATAATAATAGATGTGTTTTTGATCTTTCGTCTTATTATAATTCGAGGTTTACGCGTTATTTCCACACAAGGGAAATTTCATTTGCATCCCCCCCCCCCCCCC